CACACACATGGTGTCAAATTACAGTTTAAAAGCCTATCTGCAAAAACTGATAGATGAGGTTATGTTCACTTTAAGACCTCTACATGAGCCTGGGAACTGGCTGTGGTGCCTTAGTTGTGGATTTTGGGGGTTGTCATACGATATTCCTTCAGAGTAGAAGTATTCAATTTATTGTAGATACTGCTGTAGCACTGTAAGGTTATTTAAAAATTATTGGAGCCTCTGAGCAGAATGCAATGAGATACTCAATGCACTTCACTTTCATATTCACTTAGCAGTCCAATATGAACTAACCTGCATTTCAGCAGGAAATCACTAACCCCAGTAAACCTGCTAATTTTAAACAGATGTCACTAAGAAAGATATTTCAACTAAAAAAATCTTATTAGGAAAAATAGGGATGCTTGTTCAAGAAAGTGGCAGAAATTGATTTCTGAAATTATTTTCTTAACTGATATGATTTTCTATGCATGCAGGGACATAAGGTCATAGAATAGATATCTGATCATTATTTCAATTAGGACAGTAGATTCTTATCTGGAATATCATGACGGACTGTTCTACTAAAGCATAAAACGAATGATATTTTTTGAACTGGAAAGTTTATTCAGTTTGTCTTTATATCAGTATAAATTATCTTGTCTATTATAAGAAGATGTAGTGGGCCTTAGTTCATTAAATTAATAATAAATATTCTACCACTAAAATAACTTTATTTTAATAGGGTAATTCCTTAACTATATTTTGAAGTATTCATGCTTATTTAGTGGTATTAAACTTGTGAATAACTTGATAAACAATATATTTTTCTTGTTTTGCAGAGGAGTACACATGCAACTTTAAAATTACACTCTCATTACTATAAGGCCACAAAACCTGCCTTTCCCATATGAGCCATGGTCAAGAACATAAAAAAATGTATAGGAATAGTTACAGATGTGGACAAAAGTCTTGAACTTCCAGGGTGGGTAATTGGTGTTTATGAGACTCATCTCTATGTTTGGAAGCATTTATTTAGCCATTGACTATGTTTATTTACTATTTGTATTGTGCTCTCAGTCAGGAACCAAACTAGATAATCAGTAGGTAGGTAATTTTTTGTAGGGATCCTTGAAGCTATTGTTCATATCTTGTGAAGACAGAATGCACAAGGAGATTGATACTCATCTCCCAGTTAATGATTACCCTGGACTAATTTGCAGTGACATTTTTTGATAAATAGAAATACATATTTCTTTACTATTTAATATCTTAAAGTAAAACAAAAAAAAAACCCCAAACAATCTTATACATGACTGAGATCTTTGTAATGTTGTTGCAACAGCAGAACATTATAAATACAAATATCAGAGGCTTTTTCTGCATTCAATTAAATGACAAAGGAGTTTCCCATCCTGCCAATGTCTACACTTAAATTCAAAACTTCAATGAATAAAGGTTATATCTCTTATCTTATAACAGTTGCAGCAGAACTTCTGATTTAAAAATACATGTGCCCTACAGGTTACTTTACTCTGTATATTTGATTCAGAAAGACAGGTGTACCTGCAAAGAGCTGTGTGGAACTAACATACTCCAGATAGGACTTACCATGTAAGCAGTGGAATTGAACTACAGGTTTCACTTTCATTCCTAAAGCAAGTGGCAATAGAAAGTGTGCTGATATAGCTGCAACAAAAAGCAAATAGTCTAATTCGAGGTTTCCTCCGAAAACAAAAATGCTCCTGAGGCTGGGTTACCAGTCAAATATTGGCTGTTGCTGTTTGATGAGCCACACTTGACATAAGCAATAAATAAGCAAGGATCAATCCTAGATCAAGTTTGTGGATCAAAAGACCTCATGGTTTTGGAAAGGTGAAATTATGAATATGCAGTTCAAGTTTCCTGGAAAAAAACTTGATGTGTATTTAGGTATTTAAAAGATGCTCAGTGTTTGACGACAGATAATGAGGGGGATGTATATGTGAAAAGGTGGGAGTAGAAGAAGGGACAGCCATATTAAAAAACTAAGTATCTGAATAAATTCTTTGCTCCACTGTTCACTAATAACTTTGGTTTTAATTTTCTCTTTAGAGAGAAGTTAATAATACTTTAAAATTATAAGCATTTCATGTTTTCTGGGGTTCCTTTAATATTTTGGTTTAGGAAAACATACAATTCCATATGCATAATCTTTGCAAATATACCTAAGATCTAGAAATTGCCTCCTTCCCTCTCCCTTTCCATCATTATTAGTACATTCTTATTTATAAAATTTCAGCAGAGTGTTTTGCTGCAGCTGAGGAGGAAAACAAACAGTAAACACTAGAGGCTATTGCAGGTAATTATTAATTACATAACTAGTTACAATTACACCAAAAGTAATTAATAAACACAAATGCAGAGCAATTCATAGAGAACCATTCAATATCAAAGGATTTTGAAAGTCTTAAAACTTTAGGTTATGCATGGAAAGGAGTTCTGACATTCACAGCCAAAATTACAGAGTTGCAGCAAATTCCTATGCAGACAATTCACAATTTTTCCCCAGGGGAAAACAAAGCACAGGTCTTCAAGTAAATCAACTAATAAACTAGATTGTTGGAAGCCTTCTCAGTCGGAAGGGTGATCAGGGCAGTATCTCCTTTTGATTCCTCATGATGGGTTTCAGCCCTGGCCCATGGGGCTGAAGCTGTCCTGGGTCAACCCTAGAAGGAGCTCAGGCTCCAGTTTATTTAGGGCAGTAGGTTTTTAGTCTCCCTGCACTGCTTCTCTGCCCCACTTTGAGTGTGTGAAGAAGACCCTTTTATTAGATAAGCTGACAAAGCTCTTCTGCCAAAACCACACTTTTTTCCCGTTTCAGAGTTTGTAATTTGGTGCTGTTCCCTTATTATACTTTAAATGCATGAATTCTATAGCCTTATTCTATAATCTTATTTAAACTGTTCTAACTTAAGCTTCTAAAAATCCATAACTTTAAAGTCTTCAGATATTAAGTTGTTTAAAACCAAATATGGGCAGTGCTAAACTAGAAGTAGCAGACTTTTTAAGATGAGTATTCACACTAGAGCCTGATATCTATTTCTGATAGCTTCAAGAAACTTTGCTGATCATGATATGAGATCTTTAGGCTACATAAACAACATTCAGTCACGACTGTTAGGACCTTTCCCTCTTTTAGATCTCCTTTGTTGTAAAGGAAGCTTGTGCATGTAAGTGTAAATTCAGAAGACTTCCAGATAAAGCATAGTTAATCTGGAATTGAACAATTGAAGTATTAGGGAAAAAAAGGTCACAGAATGCTTGCAAATTCAGAAGAATGATATTTTAAAAAATGAGTCTTAAATCCCAAAAATTCAAAGTGAAATTTCATAATGAAAAACTCTATTCACAAAGGCTTTCCCATCTTTTCCAATATTCTTCTTTCCATTTTATCATGCCAAATTAACTGTTATTCTACAATTATAAAAACGCAGCTTTTAAAAGCAAAAGGCTTTCTCCTATTTTTTCACTGTTGTACTATTTACCTCATTTTCACTTTTTTCATAGATTATAGTATCAGAATAATTTTTGTATTCTAGACAAATATCAAAAATAGTTTAAGTTTATAAAGTGTTATTAAATCTTTGTCAAAGCCTAGGGCTTCAGGAGTGAAAACACACTACCATGTGTTCTTTCATTACAATACTATTTCTTGTGTGATACAGACTTGATATAGAGAATATCCATAATAATTCTTCACTGACTGAATAGCAACTCCAGACTACAAGTTCTACACCAGTATAAAAATAAAAAATGCAGGCCATTGCCTCAGCGTGCCTAAACAATTTTAGAAATATGAACTAGTTATATTTCTAAGGGCAAGGGGAGCATGAAGACTGTACTACAGATTTTCCATTCTTTCTTTAGGCCTTTCTAACATGAGCCCACAAATTTATAGAAAATTTTAGGTATAGACAGACCTTCCTCTGAGGGTCATGGAGTCTCCTAATCAAAGCAGCACTAACCTCAAAGCTCTTTGAGATGGCACAGATACACCTCTCTTGTAGTGAAACCAGGGTACACCTCCAAGTGCCAGAGACCAGTGTAAACAAGCCAAGAAACTTAAGTGCAAAAACAGTAAAATGGAAACTATTTACTCTATAGTTATTTCACTTCAACACATTCAAAAATTCATTATTATTCTCTACAGTTAACTAGGGAAAACTACACTGTTCAGTGTGCTTTATTTTTCTTCCTCAGTATTAAAGCTTTGATATAGACAGGGAAAAACAGTTAAAAATTTTATATAAAAATATACTCTATTAAATTATATTTACCAATTATTGAGGACTTCAAATGCACACTAAAAATGTATAATCACGTTAATATCATTATCATAATAATGCTCTTCAAAAAGTCACAAACTAATAACAACTCCCATTCCCAAAAGACATTTCTCCTCTCTTTAAATAAAACAGTTTGGATACATTATACATGATTTGCACTTTGTGGAAAAGAAAAAAATAAAACGGTGATGCATAGAGTTTAAGCATAAATATTTCAGTTCATTCTACTTCTCAAATCATAGAATGAATTTCCAGTTAAATGGCAATCCTGTAGTTTTATAAAAAACACAAATTATAACAATTTATGTTGGCACATGAGTTGAAACACACATCCACTAATCCTCCCAAGCCTATCCTTCAGACAAAACAAAGCATTGAAAATCACGTGTTAGGCATACTTGAGTCGCTTCCTAAACAGAGGCTTGAAATGATGAAAGAAGTGCTATTGCAGTTTGGCTGAATGGTTCACATCATAACATGATGCAGAATTAATTCTGTACACAGCAGGATCATTTTAGTATTCAGCAAAACATAGAAACTTATAAATTTCATAGTGCTAAAGAAGCAGTCTATAAAAACACTAAGAAAAAAAAAGTCTACATATCTGCATTGTGTACATTGCATTTCACCTACCAGACTTAGTTAACTGCAACATATTAGCTAAATAATTTCAAGGAAATATAAAATACCCACCTGTTTTGGGGTCAACAGAGAAATATGGCTGTCCCTGAAGAATACTGTACACTACTCTGGCACTGTTTCCATATGTGGGGTCATCTGCATCTGTGGCTGTCACCTGTAGAACAGATGTACCTGTATAGAAAGGAAAATAAACATTAACTTCCAATAAACAAAATTTTCCAACAAATGTTTTCAAGTACATTTTTAATTTTTAAAAGCCTCTAAAGTCTTCACATTCGAAAAAGAAGTGATTAATAACATGTTATAATTATAGCATTTTTTAAGGAAAATAGTTAACACTAATTTGAAAAAAAATTGTCATTATATGTGTATGTGTAAAGTGATTACAAACATACAAATTTAAACAGAAATTGCAGAGATGTAAACATAAATAGTAGTTACGTAGCATGCATATTTATATGTTCATACACATAGACCCCGAACTTGGATATTGACTTATATAACACAGATTTAAGGACTTCAGGATTATCTTCATCCACAATACAAATTACTGCTGAAGTATTAAAAAGTAACTTGTATAAATGCCCTCAAATGAACAAAAGTCACTAAATGAATAAAAAAATCTAGCTGTTGGAAGGCATCAAAGATCTGAAAATGAAATAACTTCTAGAAACTTTTTGAGGATGCAAAATAGAAAGATAAGTTCAAAAGAGAAATTTTTTTATGCTAGTAATAAAAACCACAAGAAGAATAAAATCACAGTTTCTAGCATATCACTAGGTGGGATAAGTTATGAGCAACCCTTTTGGGAGAATAAAATGCATAAGTACTGCACAGACAGAATGGAGACAAGTGATGTTTTCGTTCAAGGCATGTAATGATGAATCTTTGCTATCACTGCCAAACACTTCCCATAAAAAATCAGTAAGAGTAAGACTGTGAATTAATAAAGACTCAGACTTCATTCTATTTGTTTATCTTTATTCAGACACAGATTTATATAGGGTCCTTGGTCCAGCATTAAAATACCATAATAATAGCAGAGCAGGATACTCTCACATAACTCTTCATCTCTCATCTAAATTAGCCACTGAGGTATCACATTGACTCTGAGGTTTTCAATTTCACATTTAGTGGAGAGGAGAAGTATGTTTTTGAATTGAAACCCTTGATCTCCTTCATTTGTTGCACCTTGATTTTCTTTATACAACCATTTCAGAGCATGCTAACTAGATTTCTTCCAACACAACTAAACCAGGAGATGTGCTTTAGCAGCACATCTGATTTATTCTGACTGCTAATAGGCACATGTTTCAGAGACCAGGCAAGAGCTAATCTAAAATAAGATTTCACAAATACATATGGATGGCATAGACATCAGTTTCTCAGTTCCAGTTATTCAGCCTCTTAGATCAATATCTATTGCACAGAAACATCTGTTAATGTGCACTCCCTCAGTATACTATTAATTTACAAGTACGTATAGTCATGGAGTCTCACTTCCAGTCCAGCAAACTAAGCATGCAGACCTTCAAAGATTTGGTTTCTACTCTCTTTGAGAAGCTCTTCATTCACTTTTACCATGCTAACTTGGACATCATGAGCTGCTGTTTTTATCTCTATTGAAGACTTAGTAAAACTGGATGCAAACGGTCTGCATACTTAAATACAGTGTCTTTGGGTCTGTGAAAAGCCCAAGTATATACAGTTTCACAGATAAATGTATTAACAAACCAAGTATAAGGATACTTGGATGATTTAGAGGTGGAATACTGGAATAAAATCAAGCTGGAGCTAGTTGTACATTCACAATTATTCAGATATTAATGTTCTAGGTAACTAAAATATTGTGTTTGTCTTCATGTGGAAAGGAAAACAAATGTGAATGAAAGTTTGTGTCTTTTTTCTTAAAATGTTCTAGAAATCAGTTCAAGTCTATTTATTTGCTATCTAAACGTAGAAAAAGAGGTCACTTCCAGGAACAGATTTCCCCTTGCTCGTCCATGACATTGAAATGTTGTAATGATAAATTTCTGTGGCCCACTGTGCAAATAATTTCTAACTTGAGAGGAACTTGTATGGTTCAACCTTGTGGAATCACTGACGATTAATAGGTTATGGATGCAGAATGATTTTATTTTATAGTTGTGTAAAACAAAGGCATATCCATTCACCTGGTAGAGCATATCCATTCAACGGGTATAAAGCATCTCCAGTAAACTAGATATGCTATTCTATTCAGAATGCTGGGCAACCTCTGTACGTTTTTGTCTGTAGTTTTTCCTTTTTCCAGGAAAACAGTTACCAACAGTGTGAGTTTCCATTAGTACTTTTCCCTAGAATTCTAGGAAATCAAGATAGGTCTTGAACTTGATAAACATATTTTGGCTATTTCAGAAGAAAAAAAAAATTCAGAAATATTGTGATTTAATAATTCTTCCTTTGAAGACTTTCTTCTCGCTTCTTATTTTAAAAGAATCTTAGTGCTTGTACTACTCATTGATGCAAGAGAAAAGAAACAGTCAGTGCAAGTCAGCATCTGATACAAGCAGCTGACTGGTCATTCTAAGGTGAATGGAATGCCATTGTATCCAAAAATTTGCCAGAGTGATTTTCTAACACAAATGTAGCGCTCCTCCAAGAAACACCTGATAAACAATTTAGTATCAAATAGTGTCAAAGTGCTCTCTTTCTACCTAAAAGAACCCTTTGATTTGCAAATTTTAACCTCCCATCCTACCTCTCCAACTCTCATTCAGTAGAATGCAGCACTTCAGAAGCTCAACTTGATCACTATCTTACACTAGGAGGCTCAGCATTTTATAAGATATCCCCATAGGAGCCTTTGGCCCATCTCTTGCCAAAGAGATGAGATACTGAGCACGGAGGAAAGGCAGCTTGTGAAAGCTGCAGGTTAGAATACCTTGCCAGAAAAAAAAAAAAATCGAAAGAGGGTACTTTTACCTTCTAACAACTCCTTTCAAAGTTAGCATCACATTCAGGCTCATCTGAACAACAGACAAATCACAGTTCTGGATACATTTCTATCATTTACATGCAGCATAATTTTTTGTGGTTGAGATAGTTTTCATTATGGATTTAGATAGGGAATTAAACAGTAGTGCTCTCTTGCTATTATAAATGTTACGAAGTCAAAAAAAAAAAAAAAAAAAAGTAACCAGCTACAAAAAATAAGGGTCTAATTTCTACCTGCCATTCTTTACTATCTTACTGTGAAAGTTCCTGTCAAGAAAGTTTTGCTACAAAAGAAGTTTGTCACTCCATTTAGAAAATAAAAATGACATTTTTCCCCCAACTGGAGTTTTTGCTTATTCAGAGTACAACTAGCATTTCATATGCTTTCCAACTATATTTCAGAGATTACATTTGGGGTATTCTGTTTTCTTAGTTAATATTTTATAAAGAGCTGTAAAACATGTCTGCATGCTCTGAATTCCACTTTGTAAGTTTTCTACAAAGTTTTTCTAGTATATAAAAATGATTATTCAGTTGGGGAACAAAATTTTATTTTTATTTCAAAATATCTCCATTTGGTTTTTCTCTTTTTGTTTTAATATATAGTTTGCAAGAAAAATTTTGTGAAATTATAGGTCAAAGAAATGCTGAAAAGGAATATTGCAATTTGCCTCTGAAGACAAACTTATAATTTTTAATGAGACAGTTCTATAAAATGTTTTTTGAGAATGCAAATTTTTATGCATTACTTTTCATAGTTGTCTATACTATTAAATCTCAAATGGATCAATGTTGAAAAACTTAAAAGAAATGATAAAAAGGTGAAGTTTAATAAATGCAAGGATTCTCTTCCTAACTAAAGGAAATCTTAGTACTGTCTGAAACCACTAAAAAGTCAACAAAAAGCAATAGAATTTCACAACACAGGAAGTTAAATAGGCACTTCTAATAAAAATCATATTTATGAACGACATTGTCTTCCAGATTATCTGAAACTATGACTACCCCACATTTGGATATTCTCAAAAAAAGTTCAGAAACATCTACTGTGTCTATCAATTTCTTAAGTAGAATTTATTGGGAAAACTCTTATTATTAGAGAATCAGACAATTGTTAGGGTTGGAAGGGTCATCAAGAGGTCATCTAGTCTCACCTCTAAACTATCTCAGCACTAAAAATTTAGCATGGAGAGTTTCACTAATTTTGTAGTTGTCAACACATCTGGAAGTCTTTTACTGACTTCCAGAAGATATTCTGGAAGAAAATATTCTTATTTTCTTTTAATTTACATAAAGATGGCTTTCATAAACTTTTGAGTATACTACAGAGATCTCAAGGTAACTGAGTTTTTCATACTACAGAAGAAATAATTTCAGATAGAAATTTTGTTCTTGAGTCAAATTTTATGGAAAAGTTTCATTGAAGGCAAGGAATAGACATTTTCTTTCATCTCTCCCAGAGTAGTACGTAAAGCACAAATACTATGTTTATTTTGTGTCACAGTGAAAACTGATCTAATATTTGCTAAAAAAATTAACAAAACTTTTCTCTAGTTACTTGTCAGTGACTTGAAAAAGAAAAGCCATAAATGTCTGACAGTTTTTACAACAAGATTCAGTTCAAATTGTAGGGAAAATAGCAGCTCAGATCTTGAGGAGATAAACAAGAACCCTCTGTAAAACTAAGCAAAATAATGGAGATCAAAAATAATGCCACTTAGCATGAGAACTATTGCAGGAAGACAGTAACATCAAAAGATTTTAAAATGATAATGTAAAAGTCAGAATAAATATTTGGAGTGTGGCCTCAGAAATTCACAGAATAACAGCAACAAGTTCAGTTATATATAGACTCCACAGCTAAATGTCAAAAAAATGTGCTAATTATAGAACTAATAAAAGTGACAGAAGTATCTCCATCATTTGACATAAAGAATGCATCCTGTGGAATTAGTAATATAATTAGTCTTCCTAAAATTGCAGACAATAAAAATACTTTCATAATGCAATAAATACCAAAAAATCAATAGGAGAAAAAAGACAATAGAGATAATAAATCTGAAATGAAAATATAATGTATACCTACAACAGAATGCCTGTATGCTAGGATATGAAAATCCAGTTTTATTCACACAAGACAAAAGCCTTGTGGAATAGATATTTTAATGATTTGCCTCAAGTACAACCAGTAAAGTATTTTATTTATAAAACATAAGCACCAATTCTCTATTTTACTTGTAAAACTTCATTGGTTTACCATAGTCCACTCTGTCTTGCAAAATATCATTAAAGATTATTCAAATAATTCTTTAGAAAACAGTAACTGTATAATGTAGTTGAATAGTAATACCAGATTCTGATTACTGCAGAATTATGACAAATATTTATGTAATAGTGCTCAATATTGAGAAGATGAAAAAAAAAAAAAAGAAAGCTTTCATGAATATAATACAAATAAAAATTATTACATCTGCTACTTTTGATTTTGAAGATAATATTGATCTCTCTTCCACTGTTTTCCTCCTATGCATAAAATAGAATGCCTCAAAATTTGAAGGAAAGAATCAAATTGGTTTCCGTTAAAGACAAAGAAAACCAAAGAAAGAGAAAGATGGTGTTATGCATTTTTGGAAACAGTTGGTAAAGGAAATTAATTACTCATTAAGACAGCCTGTGTTGTAATGAGAAATAACTGAGATAAAAACTTAGATGATACTGAAATGAATTGCACCTCTAGCAGTAAAGCTTTGTGCCACAGTGAATTATCAAGGACAGTTGAAGAGGTTTTGTACAGAGCCACAATATTCATACTGGAAGCTCTATGCATTCACTGGTAATTCACATAAACATGTATTGTTTAATTGTCCTGGATTTATGATATTAGTTACAGAAATGCTACACTCTAGTCATTGTAAAAAATTCTTCTATTAGAAGAAAGTTATAAACGAACTTCAACACCAGAGAAGTAATAAATAAAGAAAACTGATTGCATAATTCAGCACCTCATAGAATAAGAATATCTGAACTATGTAACAGGGAAAACCAAAGATAGGTATCTTTTTGAATGTCAGTTCACTTTATAAGAAACTTGATAAAGAAACATATGTCTAAAGTAATCCAAGGAACTACTGTTCCTTTGTGTTTAATTCTGTGAATTGTATAGACTGCTTATGTAGACATAAGAGAATGCCTTAAAATGTGCAGTTGAATGAGAATGTATGAATACATCCTCTTTCTAGAATGGAAACTACAATTTTCCACAGAATGTATGTTAAAGCACTCAAGATTAAGAGAGACTCTTATCTTCCAACCAGCATGTGTGTGTGCATACTGTTATCTTACTATGAATGCCACAGGTAACTTACTGGTTCTATTTCATGTCTTCTTCTCATCTCTTCTTAACTCCAATATATTTAACATACACTCAATGATGTGATGATAACTTTGACAAAGAGTATGTGGCATTTGCACTTGTTAAAGGACTTTTGAATAGCACAGTTTGTTTTCCTTACCCATTTCAGACATCTCTGGCACAGTAACAATGTATGGTCCATCTGTAAATTTTGGTGCATTGTCGTTGATATCCTGCACTTTGATAATGAACTCAGATTCAGGCTCGAGTGGCTTGTTTGTCCGTCTATCAATAGCTTGGGCATGAAGCACATAGTGTGTCTTCTGCTCTCGATCTAGGCTTTTGGTTGAATGGATGTCTCCAGTTGTGTCATCAATAATAAATATAGTCCCTGCCCCTTCTCCAGTAAGAATGTATTTGACTGATCCATCACCTTTGTCGGAATTGGAATGCAGCTGTAGAATAAAAACACATAAAATCATATAAATTGAATTAAATACTTCATAAGCTATAAAAACTATATTACTGTCAGCACCCTTCTATTTTGTTTTCACCTCTCAGAGTTCTTGCCATAATTCCTCCCATACTCTTTCTGGCAACACAGCCGCTTTGTTGAGGGTAATTTTCCACCCAGCATAGTTAATTTCTTTAACTGGGATTCTTTGGGTTATGCATCCACTCTAGAAAACTTCCCTAAGTCAAGAATATTCTAGTAACTGTGATGGTTTTTGATTTATTTGGATTTGGTTTTAGTCCTTCTTGTCATTATTTTTCAGCACTCATTGCTTGAAACCCTGTCCTAACCACTAAGGATTGTCCACTGCAATGGTGGTAATTCAGTCCCACCTACACTTTCCTCTGTGGCCCCAAGGACAGCATCATTTACTGTGAAAGGAAACTGCACACTGTGCCAGTGGTAGATGTTTTTCCAGAATTACTCTATCCCACAACAAAACGTAATTTTCTTTGGATTTTGTTTTTTTTTTTAGCTAGAAAGTTATCTAGTTTGCTTATATTTAATTATTTATAGTTCAATGATGAAGTCTGACAGACACTTTCAGCATTTTCCTTGCTAATAACACCTTGTGCTATGAAATACACATTAAATATATTATACTCTTCCTTTAGTACAGTAAAGGTTTAATTGGTTGGGGGAGTGGAGGGTGGGTGGAAGGAAAACCCAGTAAATAGATTGGTATGTTGAAAGATAACATGAAATGGCTTCCCACTGCCTCACTGCTCCTAACCTGACTTTAAAGAATTGCCTGTTTATAACAAAGATAAACATGTGTTCTTTGATAAGAAAGAGTGACTTTTATACAAACTGAGAAGTTTTGTATATTTGCCTTTTTTTCCTTTGAAACTACTTTAAGAGGATAATGTATTTATTGAGGAATATAATACGAACAAGATGTTCATGCAGAAATGAACAGCCTAAGGTATTGTGCAGTTATACTGTGATGTGAAATCAGAAGGGAAACTTTCTTATTTTAAGAAGACATACATTTTTCTCTTTATCCTACTGCCCTGAATATTTTTTAACATCTGCAGTGTGTCATTATGAAATTTTGATAGAGAGCCTGAGGAAAGCAGAAAGAGAATATTTTTAGACAGATATTTTTAATTCATAGGATGCAAGGTGTTACTTTCCTGTTTTCATTCTCAGTTCAAAAATCATAGAGGGTTGAATAGAAAGAAAATAAGACTTGTATGGTAGAAAGCATCTTTTTTTTTTTTTTTTTTTACTTAAAACACGAGGTATAGAAGTGATGGTATTTTCTCACACAATAGGTGTATCTTTTTTTTCTGAGTCTTTGTCTTGCCTTTAAAACTTCCTTGCTATTTGTAAAAGGAGTAAGCATATGGTGTTTGATGAGATTTTTCATCTTTTCTAGTAAATTCATGAAATTATGGTGTTGTACATAATTTATATATTTTATGGAAGGGGGCTTAGAAGGACGAAATTTAATAAATTGGAGTTTTTCAACTCATATAAATTTCAGCACTACTTCAATCAATGCACTTATCTGAGTCACGTGAAGGTCTGACCGAATAACCAACACAAAACTGCGTCACTACTGTGGACCCCCTTTTTTTTTTCTTAACCAAAGAAAGAAGTAGCAAAAGGGTCTGTTTGGCATACTTTTATAGGACAGCAGAAAAATCTTACACATTTCATTTACAGTAGTCATTGGCAAAATTAATTGCTTCCTATCCTTAGACTAACACTGTATTAAAAAAGGAAAAATTCAATTTATATAAAACACCAGGAATCCAAACTTCCTACAGTCAAAATGTTATTTGAAGTGATTTATTTCTAAAAAATAAGAGTAGTAGGTATTCTGGTGTTCTAGAATAGGTTTACTGATACTTTAATTTGTCAGAACCAATTAGAATTGTAGGATCTTTTTGGGATAAAATGGGCCCTCAATGCTCATTTTATTTGTTTGCAAATGCCAACAGCAAAATGACAAATTTGATGAGCTTTTAAGGAGCTCAAAACTAATCCAAATTGAAAAAGATTTGAAGCCTTCCCATCGTACTTCTCTCCTTTTCCCTCTACAAGAGTATATGTAAAATTATATTCAGGTATACCAAATAGAGATCCCAGCAAAAATCATTGAATTTATAACTGGAATTATGAACATATGAATTGATCAAAAATTGCTAGGAAAGAAATACACAGAATAAGGAATTGCTGTAGAATATAAAAAGTAAGGTTCTCCAAAACAGCAAATATCAACATAGGCATGCCATTCCAATACAGTACTGCAGAAAGGCACATTCACAAATTCACTATTATGGCAGAAAATGCATGGACCATTTTGAAAATTAATAACATTAGCTATTTTTTTTATTGTGAAGAATTGCTCTTTGTACTTGTCATCAGTGATGAAAATACAGATTTTTTTTTTTGAGTCAGAGGGTTTTTACATCTAAAAGTAAGAAAAGTTAAGAAATACAAAAGATACTCAGCTGCTTTCGTGGTCAACAAATTATGTTATTCCTGCTAAACATTGTATTAGTCAATAGGCTTCAAATGAAAAATACAGGCAAGAATATAATCAGAAGAAAACTATCTGTATATTAAAAATAACTGAAATCCTTCTATTTACAACTGGGTATTTTAAACTGCAGTTGTAAGGCAACAACTGGAAAGAAGTAAAAGCTAAAAGAAGCTCCTGCTTCCTTACTTCTAGATATGTCTTATATTGTTTGAAATATAACACTTTGATTTATGCCTTTTAACTTCTAATGCTGTATTTTAAACTCACAGAGGAGGATTTTGCATAGCAAAATGGCATTTTCTTTGTAAGTTTTTTATATTTTAGTTTCCCTGCAAAGTAAAGATTAAGGAACTGTTTGTCTTCTTTAATTCTTCCATCTTAGTACAAATTGGTCCAAGTAGAAAAATATCAAGACTTCTCTCAAATGCTTATTTGCAATATGTGTTGCCCCTGGGAATCCCTACTTCAGACAATGTTTACTAGATTAACTAGAGATTTATGGCCCTAAGCATGGTGCATTTCTCTCTTTTCTTTCTGTACTATGAAGTCATTTCCACAACAAGAAGCTCACTCCACAAAAACATTTCCAAATAGAATAAATATGATTCACCTCTTTGGTTACAAATACATGGTTTGGGAGAGTGTATTTCTGCAGTGCTGCCTATAATAGATTCTAAAAAATATTGAGGGAGCAAAATATAATTGGACAGTGGTGGCCTTTCACTCTGCTTGGGACTGCTATAGCTATTTCTCTTTCAGATTAATTTGGCACTAAGGAGAATGTCACTAAGCAATGCAAATGCAAGCCAACCCATGTTTTGTTCAGACCTAATTTGTGCAATTTGGGGAAATCTTTTCAAACCAGATCCCTAGAAAGGGTGTGCCCAGTCATGACCCACTTGGGGATGTCTCCAGTGTCCCAGTCCCAGGGAGCTTCCTCACTCCACTGGTCTCTGACAGCAACATCTCCAATTCTTCAAACTGCAGGCAGTGCAGACTTCTGAATTCCCTGAGGAAATGCGGACTCTATTCGAAGTGATGGGCTGGCTTACTAGTGGTTTGGTTATGCTTCCAACAAGAATATATCTGTTTAATATTCTGAATCTGTCCACAACCACAAGCTTCCAGAATGTATTCAACTTTCATCCCCTTTGGTCATTGTTCCTGTCTTTATTTCTCTGATTTTTTTAGGGAAAAAAGAAGCTGAAAATAATAGTAAATGTGCATATCTGGAATACCCCCTTTGTCAACTCAGTGGCCTACACTTCTTGACATATTTGATAGCAAGTTGCATCCAGGAAGATTTATGATGGTTCCTCAGTCTTTATCCCATATCAGTAGTATATGACTGATTTTGCAGAACAGTTACCAAGATGACCGTGTTTTGCTAAGACTTCAATATTTTTCTTCCATCAGTCCATTTTAAAGCTCATTTTCTTTTAGAATTCCTGCAGAAACTGCAGAAGGACTACATTAATCAAAGGCTTGATTTGCTGATGGATGCAAATATTTCAGTTCATGAGTATTCTTTATATTCTTATATTAATTTTCATACTATGAATCTTTAAATACTTTTTTTGAAGCACTAGCATATAAACTGCTGTAAAATGAATTTACAGATTGAAGGCTAATTACCCACCTAGTAAAATGTTGTTACTGTTTGTAACTGAAAAATGATCAAGTGGCTAAAGCCTAATCACAGACACAAATATCAGGTGGCTGCTGCTTAGTCACTGGCCTTATGCACAACCAATCAACTTCATATATCTGCATTGTTTTAGCTGATGTTTAGCCATTTCATACATCTAAATATTTAAACCAAATAATATTTAAATACCTACTTGTCAAGCAATTGAAACTGCAACATAGGCAGAAACTACTGGACAATAGGAAAGAGGCCCAATGGGAAAAAAACCACACCAATAGGTACTAAAACACCAAAACTCAATCCAAAAATTGAGAAGAAAGCCGATGTCCTACTTCTCCTGGGAATGCAGAATGTTAGCAACTCATGGTGATCACCATGCTCCCCTGCACTTGCCTCAGGAAAACAAGCTGCAAGCAGGAAACCATGCATGACCAGAAGAGAAAAAAGCCTGGATAAGAGGGGCAAATGAAAAGTAGAAGAGCTGTCTGTTAGTGTTTTAACTGCATGACTGCTTCCTCCTGTTTGCTTTAGTTGAAAAATCTGCCTTCTTGGAGTGTAGTGTGGGTGACGTTTTAAGTGGACTGCTTATAACTTTTACAATATTTTTAATTGGACTACCAATAAATTCTTGATATATGATCAGGATATATCTTGTTCCAGAAACAAAAAAATATTATGAAGAGATTGCCTTATATAAAATAAATTCAAATCTAAGGCTGATTTGAAAAAAATCTAGAACTGTTGCACTAAGCTAATGAATTTAATTAGAGTAGAAGTGGCTATGCACATGAATACTTAG